TTCTCTCTCTCTCTCTCTCTCTCTCTATATATATATATATATATATATATATATATATTACTTTTGGGGAAAGACTTCCATACTTCCCATGCTATGTGAAAAATATACATTCCCCTGTCTAGCCATCCAATTTAGATAAAGTAAACCGTTGATTAGTATTTTTTTTTAATATTTTTTACAAATTACATGAATATGAAATTTGGTATGTGTCATCATCTCAATAGGGCACGTCTAATAAAACATTAAATTTTTATAAAATACAATGACCAAAATATCTCTAGAACTTTTAACAGCATTTTGGTTATTTAATTTTATTGGGAATATTTTGTTTATATTTTTAACAAGTGTGAGTTTAAGTGAGGGGTGGACATAAAATTTGTTGCTAAAATGTTTTGTAGAAAATTAAAAAAAAAAAAATGCAAATGCATGATATTGTGATTGGGGCCCTCTCAACCATCCATTCAATGAATGGATGGACATATAAATATAGAAAATGTGCCCTTATCTTTATCCTCTATGTGTGAGAGTATTTACTATGATTCCATTACAAGAAAGTTAGTATGTAGTATAGATTTATTCGGACTTAAACATAATTCAATAAATACTTAAGTTGCATATTATAATACTCATATATATGAGTATTCTTTAATGTACTCAATATTTTTAGATACTAATTATCTATTCTTTTGTTGTATAACATATTTTTTGAATAATAACATTTTTATTAGAAGGGGTAGTATAGATATTTGGATAATAAACTAATGATTTAGAAGCAATCATTGCTTCACATGGGTGATATAACACCTTATATGAATGAAGACATAATCCACTATAGTTAATAAATATTTATTTTTCTACCAATAATTTATACTTATCCCTAATTAATTACCTAAAATATATGTAAAATAAAATGTTACTGGTAGCCTTTTCAATTGCAAAAGTGATATTTAGTTTTTTTAAAGTATCGAACATTTTCTTTACTAAAAGTGTTGTTCGATAGTCCTAATACTGTAAGAAACATGCTTCTTAAAACAAAAAGGGGTTTGGGTGTTTGGTGCTAGTAGTAGCATACTATTTTTTGTTTTTTTTTCTTAAAAAATCAAGTTACTCAGTATACCAAAACGTTGTTTTTTGCAATTACGAGGCTTTAACTTTAGTTAATACGACTACCGACCTCGAGGGTGCTTTCGGCATGCAGGATCATCAGACCAACCATATACCTTTTTGGAAAACCTATAAGTTAAAAAACAAGAACATCTACATAAAATTTAAAAATATTATTAAAAAATATTCATCTTAATTTCCCTTTATTTAATCAAATTCCCCCCTGTTTTCGGTTATTCCAAAACAACCACACGCCGAAATGTAAAAAAGTTAATCTTAAAATCCCTGTAGTTGCTTGGGCAAGATCTAAAAAGAATTATGCATTTTCCCATGTTTTGTTTCATGCAAAAGCAGCGTGTGTGATACTCAATGTGTACAAAATGAATTAGAGATTTATAAATTTAAGAACTTCAAAAATATGTAAATTTTTATTGGATTGTTTTTAAGGGTGCAGGTGACATATAGACGCATCCGTAGGTGTAGAGGTAAGGTGCACCTTCAAACTTTATCATGGTATATAATTTTGATGTAAAATATTTTTAGGATTATCTAAAAATCTATTTTTATATCTAATTATAAATTTTTAAATTTTAAAAATAGTTAAAATCAAGTAGATCTATAAACATATGAAAATCTTGAAATGGGCGATAAAGACAATATGTTGTAAAATGCACTATTATGAGACTTAAAATCTTTTTATTTTTCATAGTCGTCGAGATGATCAATCAAACGGTTTTTCAACATTAAAACAACCTTTTTCGATGGATTTTTGAGGGGCATCCGTAGTTCTACATTATAAGGTACCATCATTATATAAACTTTTTCCTTATTGTTAATGATTACCGAAAAACAAAAATAAAACAGTAGATGTAAACATACATGCCATGATCTAGTGATAAAAGAAAACGACATCTTGTTCTTATATCTGAATTGGTGGATTGGGTTTCTTTCATTTATTCTAAACCCATGATAGGTAGTTATCTTTAAGAGTGTGGGAGAGATGATTATCACTAATCCTGATCTTATTATATTAGATAATAGATTTATTTAAATTGTAAATAATGTTAATTTTATATAATTATCCTTAGACCCTAAATTCGAGATATTTTCTAACAAAATGTTCCTGCTCCTACACAAAATAGGGACTTTTCATGAGAAAGTGGATCCATACGGTATGAAAAAAAAAGTATCATCTCGTATGAGGAAGATCTTTCACAGGAAAATATCCCACGAACCTGCCCTGAGTGCACTCTTGAATGGAGAAAATTGGACGGTGAATTCCCTTGGCGGGACGGGGCATCAAGGAAAACCTTGTCCCCAAAATTCCTTTTGAGAAAAAAAGTAGTTTTTTTTATGAGAGTTTATTTGTAGGTAGCCCTATTCTGGTTTTCATAAGGTCCGTGGGCATGTTTGTAAAGTCAACCTGAAGTCATCAATTTTTGGGAAAATTGTGGATGCCCCATTGATTCAACTTTCTAGGCATCAACGCTGATCTCATCCCTAAAAAATAGAAAAATAAAAAAAATTTAGACTTCTAATGCCACATCTCTAACCCCAATTTTTTCTTTTTGCATGTCCCCAAGTAAAAATGTGATTTTTTTTTTGTATAAATGTATTTTTTTTGGAAAATAACCCTTCGAATGCATGTTTTCTTTTTTTCCAATCAAAACCAGTTTGGCACAAATCTGTGCCGGACCATCTTCATTATAATAAAGCCCAGCCGATGTAATATGTGCCACATTGGCTTTGATAGGAGCATGGAGCTGGTGTGGCATACATTCTGCCATACCGGCTTGGATAAAAAAAAAATATGTGGGTTCCTATAGAGGTAATTTCATTTTAAAAAATTGGTCTAGTGATAGCATTTTTTTTGAAAGGGGATTTTTTTTAAGGAAAAGGATAGACCCGAGGCTATAAACAATCATATTAAAGCCTACTTCAAAAATTTTATTAGAAGAGGTTGTAGTGATATCTTCAAATTGATAATTTTGACATCAAGTTTTGGACCGTCAATTTTGAAGACTTTAAAGTTTTTATAATTCTATTAAAGTTTTTATAATTCTATTCGATCTACGCTATTTTTAAAGCTTTAAATTTTATAATTAAAAATAATATATTTTAAAGCTATCACAAAGATTGGTGCGCCTTACTTTGATTGTTTAGAGCCTCGGCTCTATACAAACGGAGCCCTGTTTTAATCATACCAATTCCAAACTCCACTGATCTTTTAATCATATACTAATTCTGACGCATTTAATGAACCATGAGAAGTATAACGGATCAAAACAATACAATGAGTATCTCACGTACCGATCCAGCGGGCCATTTCTGTAATTACGATATTAAGGGCTTCTCTCGTAATTTCCACAAAAATACATTTGGGCGTTTTGGTAGTCCCGCATCATTAAAAGTGCTTCAGTAAAAACGCCAGAGCTTTCCTCGCAAATGTAGTTGCAGAGAGAGAAAGAGGAGAGAGAGTGAGTAGAGGAGAGTGAAGTATTAGATAGAGAGGAGAGTAAAAGGAGTGAGAGCACGAGAGGAAAGAGAGTATTCCTCGGAATTGTTGTTGTTGCAGAGAGAGAGTGGTTAATGGCGGAGGAGAAGGAGTCAACGTCAACGCCTCTCGCCTCGAGGCTAGGGCAACAACCAGAGGACCCTGAAGATCCTGATAAATCACCCCCTTCTTCTCCTAACTCATCTACTCGTAAGGTCAGCTCTGACCCTAATTCTCTCACATTTCTTTTCTCTATTGGCTATCACATATTCCACATTTTTCTAGAGCTTTAGTTTGATCTGATCTCTAATTTAGTCAATATTTTCATGGATCAGAAAATTTTATTGGGGTTTAGGGTTTAATGACTTTCTTTCTGATCGCTGGCTTAGATGAGGGGGTTGGGAATTGGTTCTCGCGTTCATGTAAATCTACCTTTTGTTCTAGGGTGAGAATAAGACGAAATTGAGAGTAGTGAGAAAAACCATAGGGATTTAGTGAATGATATTAGATTTTGATCGATGTTTCCTTTGGTGACTTTTTTGGGACTGTGTCTCTGTTTATCGATCTCTATTTCCGTTGTGAATCTCTGGTAAATTGTGGAACTAGGGAGCATTTGGTTGTGCTTGTGTTTAAATTTGTGAAACGGATATAATGCTGGCTATGAATTTGTTATACATGGAACCATGGAGCACTCGTCTTTGTTGACTTTTGGAATTGCGGAGCATTTGTCCATAACTTCATACTGGTGATTGAATTTCTGCAATTGCTATTACTTTGTTCACTTTTGCTTAGGATTCCTAAGCAAAAGGGAACAAATTCATAGCTACAATGTCTAATGGAATTTCATTGGACTCTGTATCTAAATGCTGGGATGGTGACCCTTAGCACTCGTTGAAAAGGTAATCTAATCAGAATCGCCATTTGGTGTTGCTCCTTACTTCCCTTGCTTTACCAGTTTGTGCATAAAAGGTTTCATTTAGATGTTATTTTCACCTGCAAGCGAATAATTTCTAGGACCATGATGGTCCCTATTCCTTGATTTTTTGGGTTATTAAAGCATTATAGGTTACCTGATAAGATAAAATCTGTATGACTTTCTTGTATTTTTGCTATGGAAAAAATAGTAGGTATTATTTCAAAATAATGTCTTTTGAATCATGCTGTTTTGGATAGTGTGTTTTATATGTAGAGAGAGAAGTAGCGGGTTTATTGTCCAACGTTGGACAATGGAGATATGCAATTTATGTTTAAATATGGGAACACCCTCTTTCATTGTGTTCTAAGAACTAAGGAGAGAGAAGGCCTGGTGGAGCACTCGAAGGGTGTGATGTGCTTGCTCGTGTGGAAGGGTGTTGGAGGCACATTTTGCACTTCACACACTCGCATTGATGCGAGAGACGCCCTTAACCTACATGTGCGGGTCGGGCTAGTGGCTTCTCAATATTTTACCACTATGGGCATTGCCACTTGTGGGACAGGGGGTAGTCTTGGTAAATTGGTGTTGTGATAACTACCATCGGTTTGTGCAAGGGGTTGTTTGGTTGTGCTTGTGCAGATGAATGCAATATTCCCCCTTGGTAAGAAAAGTTGGAATAAATCTATTGGCAAGGCAAGCAAGGAGCAAAGCTAGTGGTAGCAATGTCAAATCCTTAGGGCTTTGCAGCCTCAAAAAGTTGGAGAGGGGACAACAAAAAGCCTCTCAAACGAGTGCTTTTATGTTGAGCATTTGAGAGTGCTTTGCTTTTTGTCTAGCAAAACGCCAGCCAGCGTAGGTTCGAAAGTATGCTCCTACTCCCGCATTTAGTATTGGGAAAGCAATTTATTAAGCATGATAGTTGGCTTTTGGAACTCGAAAAGGTGCCTTAGAAGAACATTTTAAAAACGGAAAAGGCACCTTAGGTAACCAGTAGCATGTCAATTGCAACTAATGAACCGTTTTTAACGATTATAGTTGATGATCAAAGAGTTATAATTCATCTAAATTGTGCAATGGTCACATTGGCTGAAAGTGAAAGGGCATTTTCTCTTGCTATAACTTAGACACGAACTTCTCTCTTTTTGCTTTAGTTTTCTCTGAATTTTTTTCTTTGTATGAACTTTTCTCTGTAGAAAAGAGGCAACTTTGGTGTTCTAGATCTTGTAGTACTTGTGCATTTATAGAACCAAGATAGCTTATCAAGCTTCTATTTCCTTACACACACACACACATATAGAAAGAGCTACCAATAGGTTGTCACCTAAAAAGGAATAGTAGTTTAGGTGAATGTTTTGAGTCGTCAAATCTTGATTGAATGGTTAAAAGTATATGTTTCTATTTGAATTTTAATAATGAACACAATGGGAACATAGCGATAGAAGGAACCGTTTGCATAAATGAGGGCGGAGGTCATGGATACATTCGTAGGATTAGGATATTGGAAGTGAAAAAAAGCTTTAAAAAGGATGAAGATCGGAAGGTTTTAGGACTAGATGGTATCTCAATAGAAGTTTTGAAGTGCAAGGGGGGAGATTGGCATTGATTGGGTGGCTGTTCAACGAGGTGTTGAGAACAAAATAAATGGCAGACGAATGAAGGAAAAATACTATGGTACCTATTTACAAAACAAAAGAGATATAAATAATTGTGCAAGAGCCACACTATGAAGCTCTGGGAGAGAGTGATTGAGCAACGACTAAGATATGAAACTAGTGTATCAGAAAACCAATTTGGTTTTATGCTAAGGAGTTTAACAAATGATGCTATTTTTCTACTTAGGCAACTGATTGAGAAGTTTAGGTCGAAGGGAAAAACCTCCACATGGTCTTTACTGATCTAGAGAAACTTATGATAGAGTACCTCGAGATGTGATTTGGTGGGTGTTGGAAAAGAAAGGAGTCTTCAGGCACTACATCGACTTGGTGAAGACATGTATGATGGAGCACTAATTAGTGTACGAATAGTTAATGGAGAGACAAGTGAGTTTTTAGTGATAATAAGTCTACATCAGGGTTGGCATTGAGCCCATACCTCTTTGTCTTGGTTATAGACGACTTAACTAGGCACCTACAAGATAAGGTGTCGTTTTGTATGTTGTTCGCAGATGACAATTTTGATTGATGAGGCCCGAAACAATGTCAATGCAAAGTTAGAACTTTGGAGGGATGCTTTAGCATAAAAAAGTTTCAAAATTAGCCAGAGTAAGACAATTTATGAAATGCAAGTTTAGCAATAATAGGAGTAGAGACGAGGAAGTAGTTAAGATTGACGGTCAGGAAATACCAAAAGAAGTGCACTTTCCATATCTTGGGTTGATAATTTAGGAAAATGGAGAGATTGAGGAAAACGTCGCACATAGAATTAGAGCTGGATGGGCTAAGTGGAGATTTGCTATCGGAATTTTATGTGTTTGCCGCATATCAATGGAGCTGAAGGGCAAGTTCTATAGGATAGATGTGAGACCAACTTTGCTCTATGGGGTGGAATGTTAGGTAGTCAAAAAATAATATGCCCATAGACTGAGTCTAGCGGGGATGAGGATATTGAGATGGATGAGTTGCAATACAAGAAGGAATAGAATTTTAAATGAATACATTGGAAAAAATTTAAGTCTTGTATCATTAGAGAATAAGATAGAGAGAGAGTAGATTTAGGTGGGCTGGCCATGTGTAGCGCAAACCTAGTACAACACCTGTTAAGAGGTGCAAGTTAGTTCAAGTAGATGGCTTAAAGAGGGCTAAAGGACGTGGTTGGAAGTAGTGATAAAGGATATGGGGACTTATGGCCTCATTGAGGGAATGACCCTTAATATAGTAGAATAGTGGATCAGGATTCGTATAGTCGACCCTAATTAGTTAGAAAAAGGCTTTGACGATGATGATTATTTGAAATTGTAAAATTTTTTGAACAAATCAGATTAAGTTGAAATTTTAGTTGTATATACTTGACACCAGTGTTTTAAAATGCGGGATGCGGCCCTGATGTGGTGGGGGGCCGATGTGGCGATGCGGTCTCGGATGCGGGTGCATCGCGATGATGAGGTCAATAAATGTAAAAAAATTATAGAAAATCTAAAAAAATAAGTTAATGCATAGAAAAAAATATGAAGGTGATATATGTGATAGTAGGTATTTTAGTTTAATGATTAACTTCAAAACTATTAGCTGTCGGAGATTTTGTATCCAGTTATCTGCCCATATAAGTATTTCCATAGAGCAAGCATATCACACAGTTTCTATCTTTGGGGTTTTTTAGTTTAGCATATTTCCAAGCCGGATCCTTATCACTAGAAGATTGGGAAGAAGACATTGCCCCCAAAATATGTATAATAGTAATATTGTACAAGAAGGAAAAAAAATTCACCGACTCTGTGAAGCACTGCTCGATTTCTTCACGACCTCTAAAACTCCCGATTTTTTATCACAAATTCACCCTAACATCTCCAAATCAACAATCAAAGGCATCCAATGAACATCCAAGTATCAAACAACCGCCAATTCGAAGATTTCGATGAAAAAAAAAATTCCGCCTAAATATTTTTTTACCTCGATTTGATGCAAAAAAAGCCACAAAAGTGGTTGAAAATCTTCGTTTAGGGCCCCTAATACCCCCCCAAACAGTTTCCCTAGATGGTCAAAAAGACCATTTTGCCCCTCCTCGAGGGGCAAAACAGGAAAAACTTTCGGTGGACATTGTGGCAGTGGGATGCGGTGCGATGCAGCCTATGCGGGATGCGGCTTGATGCGGCGCATATGCAGCCGCATCTATCAAAAGCGCATAACCCTATAACTATTATATATCTTAGGTGATAACAATACAATCTAGGTTCCTTACTTTCCTTCCATTAAAAAAAAAAAAAACTCTCTTGTTCAATTAAATCAAGATACAAATACAAGAATGAATCAAGAAATATGGAGCCGTTAAGTACCATATTACCTTGCCTTGGATCACCTCCATGGACTTAGCACCGCACTCAAGATCTCCAAGACCGATAGCGCTCGCGATGTAGGTCTTTCACTTTGTCTCACAAACGGGAAGCCAAGGCAAACCCTCATCTAAGCATGAGAGCATGACACTTATATTATTTTCTATGGGATAGGGCACCCTCTAAACACTTAGACCTAATCTACCATGGGCGTGTCACCCTTATGTTCTCCTTGGGGTGTGGCCCCCTTCGTTTCTCTAGGGTTTGAGAGAAGGCAAGAGAGAGACAGGCATGCAACCCCAGGGAGGAAAGAG